TGTCTGTAGGTTCTTCGTTCCCCACCCGTGTCTCTATACCTTCTATATTACGCTTGAGATTTTGGAACGTAGTGAAGGAAACCCAGCTCCGTTGTGTCTTTACTTCTTTTGAAAAGGTATCCTCTGTTGTGTTTGTATGTTCAGGATCTTTTTGTGGATGCTCGGCAAAGTGGAATGTTACTTGGTGTTTTTGTTTGGTTTTGTTTGGTTGTTTTTTTTCCTTGCTGTCAATTTTGTATTGGTTATATAGACTGTTGGAGCCCTGCTCATTTTTATTTTTCCTTACTCTTTGATGTATGCTCCAAGTTTTGGCTTGTCCACAGTTGAGAAGGATTTCAGAGGCTGCTTCCTCCCCAAAGGCATATTATTTCTCCTGTAATGTAAATCAGACTGGTTGCTTCAGTCATCTTGATTAGAAGAAAATATTCTGGAGGTTTTTCAGTTATAGCGATTTAGCTGGAGTTAAGAATTCTTTATTTTTAAAAAGCTTTTGATAGTATAATGATCATTGGATATATGTATTGCTTATATCTTTTCCCTCTTATCTTAAATAAACCTATGACTGTAGTAAGGGTCCTATTGCTTTTTTTAGTTTTTTTTTTTTGTTTTCCTTCCATGCTTTGCAGTATTTCCAGTTTGGATCTTCTGTATTTGTATTTTAAAAGTTACAAAGATTTTTTGCTATGAAAAATGGGTAAAAGTCTTTCTCAAGTTCATAGAAACTTTATGTCTAGTCTTAATATCATAGAATCATAGAATGGTTTGAGTTGGAAGGGACCTTAAAAATAATCTAATTCCAACTCCTGCCATGGGCAGGGTCACCTCTCACTAGACCAGGTTGCTCAAAGCCCCATCCAGCCTGCCCTTGAACACTTCTAGAGATGAGGTATCCACAGCCTCCCTGGGCAACCTATTCCAGTGTCACCACCCTCACACTAAAGCATGTCTTCCTTATGTCTAATCTAAATTTACCCTCTTCCACCTTAAAACCATTACCCAATGTCACTTGTACACTACACACCCTGGTAAAAAGTCCTTTTCCAGCTTTCCTGTAGGCCCCCTTCAGGTACTGGAAAGCTGCTTATTTTTGGGCACTACAGTAGTTATATTTACCCCTGATGCCCAGAAAATGAACCGTCCTTTTCAAACCTCCTTGTCAGTTGTTGCTGGATTTGCTCCTTACATTCCTGTCCTTGGAAAAGCCACTTAGGTACAGTGTAGCTCTTCTTCACTGGCTGGTTCATTTTTAGAACATTGTTGTTTGAAACTTTACCTTTTGTTTCAGAGTATCATTTTCACATTTCGGAGGCTTTAATGAATGGTGGTTCTTGCTGAAGAATCCATCTTTATAAGATAAACCAGGGTGATTATTGTAGACATCTTCTAAGTAGACATGTATTTACAGCTTTGGTAATATATATGTATTCCAACAGTAATGGAATAAGAATAGAAAGTCAGGTGAAAAAATGCACAGACATTACTGGCAAGAAATAACCCCCAGTGCTTTGAAACATAGTTCAATTGTCTCTGCCATAAATTTGAGAATAAGTGTCATACATGGGTGATAAAAATGGCATAGGCTATTTTTTATATGCTCATTATTCACTTAGTTTGCCTTTTTCAATTAACGTGGAGTCTATCTATCTCATCTGACTGGGTTTACGTTTCTTTCATAATCATATGTCAACAAACCACAATAGATGCAGCATAATGTGGCATCCAGTGTAAATCTTTAGGTTAATCCTTAACATTTTTTATTATAGTTCATTTGGAATCACTTTGTAACTTGATAATGATTTGTACTGGTGTGGGTTTTTTCATGATATGCTTAATATGTTACAGCTTCATTTTTTCTCACCTTTTTAATGTATTGGATGCTCAAGTACTCAGCCAATGAGATTAGACACGCATATAGTCCTTGATTATAATTTTTCTTCTTGAACTTCTTAAAAAAGACGTTTTCTTCACTTGAACAGTCTTAGCAGTTTGGGTTTACTTCTGCTTTCTAAATCACTAATGAAACTGTTGAGCCTCAGTGTTTTTCACAATACTCAGTTTGTATGTGGCAGCACAGCAAGATAGCCTTGCTTTTGGGGATTTCAGGTGCAGCAATTTCCAAAGACAGTCCTGTCCAGGACTTTGTGCTAGAAGGAATGCACACCTACTTGTTAGGCTGGATCAAGGTAGTATTTTTAGACATCTTTGAGTGTCAGTAGCTTCTATTTTACATCATGTGCTCTGTTTGTGTTGGTTTTATTTAGAGAATTTAGCAAACTTTGGAGAAGGACTTTTAAATGTAGTTGGAAAGGAAGGGAGGGAGCAGAAGCAAAATCCTCAAGTACTTACTGATTCATGAGGACAGACACAGATACTGCTTGATAATTTGTCTTCAGACCTGTTCCCTATTAATGTATTGCATAAAAACTTTGTAATCAAATTAATTTCTTTCTAATGCCAGCCCATGTAAAACTGAAGAATACATGGCAATCTGTTTAGCATTGGTCATCAGCCCTGCTCATTTTTATTTTTCCTTACTCTTTGATGTATGCTCCAAGTTTTGGCTTGTCCACAGTTGAGAAGGATTTCAGAGGCTGCTTTCTCCCCCCAAGCATATTTTTTTTCTCCTGTAATGTAAATCAGACTGGTTGCTTCAGTCATCTTGATTAGAAGAAAATATTCTGGAGGTTTTTCAGTTATAGCGATTTAGCTGGAGTTAAGAATTCTTTATTTTTAAAAAGCTTTTGATAGTATAATGATCATTGGATATATGTATTGCTTATATCTTTTCCCTCTTATCTTAAATAAACCTATGACTGTAGTAAGGGTCCTATTGCTTTTTTTAGTTTTTTTTTTTTGTTTTCCTTCCATGCTTTGCAGTATTTCCAGTTTGGATCTTCTGTATTTGTATTTTAAAAGTTACAAAGATTTTTTGCTATGAAAAATGGGTAAAAGTCTTTCTCAAGTTCATAGAAACTTTATGTCTAGTCTTAATATCATAGAATCATAGAATGGTTTGAGTTGGAAGGGACCTTAAAAATAATCTAATTCCAACTCCTGCCATGGGCAGGGTCACCTCTCACTAGACCAGGTTGCTCAAAGCCCCATCCAGCCTGCCCTTGAACACTTCTAGAGATGAGGTATCCACAGCCTCCCTGGGCAACCTATTCCAGTGTCACCACCCTCACACTAAAGCATGTCTTCCTTATGTCTAATCTAAATTTACCCTCTTCCACCTTAAAACCATTACCCAATGTCACTTGTACACTACACACCCTGGTAAAAAGTCCTTTTCCAGCTTTCCTGTAGGCCCCCTTCAGGTACTGGAAAGCTGCTTATTTTTGGGCACTACAGTAGTTATATTTACCCCTGATGCCCAGAAAATGAACCGTCCTTTTCAAACCTCCTTGTCAGTTGTTGCTGGATTTGCTCCTTACATTCCTGTCCTTGGAAAAGCCACTTAGGTACAGTGTAGCTCTTCTTCACTGGCTGGTTCATTTTTAGAACATTGTTGTTTGAAACTTTACCTTTTGTTTCAGAGTATCATTTTCACATTTCGGAGGCTTTAATGAATGGTGGTTCTTGCTGAAGAATCCATCTTTATAAGATAAACCAGGGTGATTATTGTAGACATCTTCTAAGTAGACATGTATTTACAGCTTTGGTAATATATATGTATTCCAACAGTAATGGAATAAGAATAGAAAGTCAGGTGAAAAAATGCACAGACATTACTGGCAAGAAATAACCCCCAGTGCTTTGAAACATAGTTCAATTGTCTCTGCCATAAATTTGAGAATAAGTGTCATACATGGGTGATAAAAATGGCATAGGCTATTTTTTATATGCTCATTATTCACTTAGTTTGCCTTTTTCAATTAACGTGGAGTCTATCTATCTCATCTGACTGGGTTTACGTTTCTTTCATAATCATATGTCAACAAACCACAATAGATGCAGCATAATGTGGCATCCAGTGTAAATCTTTAGGTTAATCCTTAACATTTTTTATTATAGTTCATTTGGAATCACTTTGTAACTTGATAATGATTTGTACTGGTGTGGGTTTTTTCATGATATGCTTAATATGTTACAGCTTCATTTTTTCTCACCTTTTTAATGTATTGGATGCTCAAGTACTCAGCCAATGAGATTAGACACGCATATAGTCCTTGATTATAATTTTTCTTCTTGAACTTCTTAAAAAAGACGTTTTCTTCACTTGAACAGTCTTAGCAGTTTGGGTTTACTTCTGCTTTCTAAATCACTAATGAAACTGTTGAGCCTCAGTGTTTTTCACAATACTCAGTTTGTATGTGGCAGCACAGCAAGATAGCCTTGCTTTTGGGGATTTCAGGTGCAGCAATTTCCAAAGACAGTCCTGTCCAGGACTTTGTGCTAGAAGGAATGCACACCTACTTGTTAGGCTGGATCAAGGTAGTATTTTTAGACATCTTTGAGTGTCAGTAGCTTCTATTTTACATCATGTGCTCTGTTTGTGTTGGTTTTATTTAGAGAATTTAGCAAACTTTGGAGAAGGACTTTTAAATGTAGTTGGAAAGGAAGGGAGGGAGCAGAAGCAAAATCCTCAAGTACTTACTGATTCATGAGGACAGACACAGATACTGCTTGATAATTTGTCTTCAGACCTGTTCCCTATTAATGTATTGCATAAAAACTTTGTAATCAAATTAATTTCTTTCTAATGCCAGCCCATGTAAAACTGAAGAATACATGGCAATCTGTTTAGCATTGGTCATCTTTGGCCAGTTTGTATGCACAAATGTGCTGAGCTTGCGGTTACCTTCCAAAATTTTCTGGCTTGGCTGCCCAGATTCTCTGGCTTGCAGCCGATTTCTGGCTCTCTCAGTCCTTGAGGCAGAGGAGAGAGATGGGAGAAGCATGGTGGCTGGAAGAATTCTTCTGCTGACCTACCAGTCCTTTCCTGTGTGACTGGCAGTGCATCAACCAGGTGACACCAAGCAAGTGTCCCTTGTCATATGATGGAAGTGCGTCTGGTCTTGAAACAGGAGCCTGCGTTCTCAGGTCATGGACAAAGCTGTGTGTGTGCCCTGCCATGGGATGGGAAACACATGTATCTCATCACCAGTTTATAATTGTTTTCTGTCATTTAAGTGGTATGAACTCATCAGGTCATGAAGTGACTTAGCTTCTTGATAATGTGATGGACAACACTGTGGTTCTCTGCTGGAGGAGGGGAGAAAGGAAGACCCCAGGCCTCAGTCTTTGAGTGCCTCTATCAGAGTCTCTGCAGCCCACCCTGACACAAAAATGAAGCAGTTCTTTCCTAAGGATGTTTGTTTATTAAGTGCTACTTATGGTCATGATATTAAACCCTGTAAACAACAAAAGTGCCATGATCTGTTGTGATTAGCACTCTTTCGCACAGCACTTGCTTTGGGCTAAGAATTTACAATGTTCTTGAAAAAGCCCATCTGGGTAGTTTCAGACTTCATCAAAGAAAATAGTCCCAAAGATTTAAAACAATGAAAAACTTGCAGTGTTGTCTGTTTATAATCATGGTAATAAGGAGAACTACAAAATGTTTTAACGAGGAAAAGCAAGATAAATCTTAGCTTTTTTCCTTATTAAAGGAATGTAGATGAAAATTAAATTAAAATGACCTTTTAACTGTTGTATGAACTGCAATTAAGCTTTGAACTGTATGAGGTAGTTGAAGTGGTCAGAGCTGGACTGTGGTGTGATGTCCCTTTTGTATCTGACAGAGCAATTTCTGAGTGGATCATATCAATCAGATCTTTTCAGTTTGGCAGTTATTTTTCATTGCTGGAGGCAAATAAATTCTCTGGGGTATGGTTCACACAAAGTTAAAATCAGGAGCTTTAAGAAACAGAGCAACAAACATGGGCATTCAAGATATCAAGCAGTCTAACACATAAGCTTAAAAAATGTTAAGAAGTTTTGAGTAGCTTTCCAAAGTTTCTCTTTGAAATTGTAGTGTTTTCAATAGAAACAGCTGAGTCTCTGCAATCCTTGATACTGAAGAGCTGCTCAATTTGTTAGGAACAAACAGTTTATGGAAATAGACAATTTGTTTTTTGTGTTGTGGGTAACTGAAGAGTTAGTGCTTTTAAATCAGAAATCTGTTCAAGGAGGTTTTCTTTTTGTAGTTTATATTTTATTCCTTTTTAAACTCCTCAGTGGACCAACTGCTACTGAAACATGAAGAAACATGTCTACTACACTCAAGAGCTTGTGACTAGTACTTTACACTTTCCTTTTTGGTATTGCATTACATTAGCAGAGGAGAGATCAAGTTTTGGATCATTCTGGTGAAGGAAAAGCAAGTAAGCTATGAGAATAGTGCTGAGAAATGGGTAAATTTTGCTGCTTCTGTTTGAAGTTCCTGTATGAGACTTGGATCTATCATACTGACGTCCTGAGTTCTGTTCTCATTCTAAGTTAAATCACTTCGGGGAATGTCAGCAAAATTATGTGAACATTCCCTTATATTAAGCCAGTGATGAAGCCTTTTCTAACAGCAGGAACTGCTCCTTCCATAATCTTCTACAATGTGGAAGTACAGGTAGTAAGTTATGATGATCATAACTTAGGTAACTTCCCTGATTCTTGTCCAGAGGACTTTAGGATAAGTTACTCATGTCACACACATCTGGCACATCCTGGATAGATTTACAATGCCAGATCCAAACAGGGCTTGAAGAAGATATGTAACATTCTCTGAGTAGAGAAGAAAAATCTATGGTACAATAAAGCATAATTTTCAAGTAAACTGCTGCTTTAGCATCCTGTTGCAGATCATGTGTACATCAGGTTTGTGTTCATATTTTGGGATTGTGATGAATCAAGCTATGTGTTTTCTCTGGAAATATGGAAGTAATAGTGTTCAGTGATGAGTACAGTGCATTCTGATTGTGGATACCTAAGCTTGGAGAGCTTGTTTTACATTCTCATGAGAGAGGGAAGCCACCCCAGGGATGCCTTCTCTGTAACTGCTTCTCTTCAGAAACAACAAACTTGTCAGGCTCTTGTATGTGCTTGCTCTCTGTCTCTCTGCTTTTTCCCTCTCCTTCAACACATTATCCACTTATACTGAGAATAAGTGGAGCATCCACTTCTGCTCTGCCCTTCTATGGTTAAAAGTTCTGCATTATTTCTGCTTTTGAAGTCCAAGCTCTTCCAGAAAATAACAGATTCTGTCAGCAATGTGGCTAGTCCTTCATATTGTTGCATCTATCCTATATTTTAAGCCAGAAGTGGTAACTCTTGCTTATGATAATCAACTTGATTTTGCTTTCCCACGTACTCCTTACTTGTCTTATCTTTGTATATGAAAAAAGCTTTGACAGTCAGTCAGAGCCTGACACAGCAGAGTTCTCAGCTGGGTTTTGAGCTTTTCAAAGAAGTAAAGAAGCCCACTAAGTTAAAACAAAAACTTCTGAAGCAAATTTCTGTGATTAATTAGAGTCCAAAGATTACTGTGCAAGCATTGCTCCTTGTTTATAAATGGTACTAATTTTTCTAAGCTTTCCCATCTTGCTTCTGAGGTAGAACTTGGAAGCTGATAGCTAATTTTCAAAATAAATACATGAAAATATGAAGGAAGAAATTTTTCATCAGCCCATCCCTCCCAGAGTGACAGGTTGGTCTGTACTGGAAAATCCTGTTGGGTTTCATTGAGAAAAAAAACTGTTGACAGTTTTGGTTTTTGCCCTGAGTAGTAAAAGCATCAAGTTTTCTGACCTATGTTTTGTGGCTGGTCAATGTCTTTGGATTTTGTGGGTCCTCATTTCCCCACTTGCCTGGAAATCCTGATAATTGGAATTTGTGAAGATGAATGCATTTTCTATGGGTTAGGACAAAATACTTCTAGGGATGCTTGGTGTATGGCATAGAAGCTGTCAGGGGTGTGTCTGGAGGAGTCATTAATACACATGTTAAGTGTCTTTCCTTCTGTTCTTTTAAGGGAGGAGTGACATAGTACTGAGTGTGAGTCCTCCACTTCAGGACTGCTTAGAAAAATATAATGGAGAGGCTTCTTTTTTCTGGTGGGGGAAACAATATAATTCTTCAAAACTCTAAAATACTTTAAAAAGTGAAGATTTTTGCCACATTTTTTGAAGGCAGCAATCTAAGCATCTAAATAAGAATCTGGTAAATTATTTTTAAAGAATAACATCTTTGCAATAGGTATGCTAGTGTTGTCAAAGAGTAACTCGACTTAATTTGTTTTCTTGTAGCCTGTAATATAAAGTGGGATATTTTTCTGTTGAACTTCTGTTTTATAAAGAAAAAAGCAGGCAATTCAGGTTTTCCGTTTGGAAATTGGCGGTAAATATTAATTTAATGTAATTTTAAATGGTAAACTTTTGCATGCAAAATATGAGTACTTAATTGGCTGGTTTTTATTTCTTTATAAAAATGGAAAATCTTATCTGATTTGAAAAGTTACAGGATTAAAATAGTTCTATCCATATATATACACATATATGTATATATATTTATAGGTTTCTACATAGATTAAGCCACAGTGTGTATATATAGATATATCTTTATATCTGTGTGTGTGTATGGGGGAGTTGACAGGCACCATGGGGAGGTGGTTGTCGCTATCTGTGCTTTCCCTTATTCAATAAACAGTTATTATCCCTACAGCTGAGAAATTTAACAATCAGGATTTTAGGGTCATATTTCTACTTTTCAGTTTCCAGGATAACCATATGTTGGTTGGTAGCTATAAGGAACTGTTACACTGTTTTTTGTTAAGCAAGAAAACATACTACTTGGAGGAGTTTCAGTCCCCCAAATTCTCAGTCACTGCGTTGTTTTTATCTTATTGAATGGATATTTCTTATCTTACCAAGAACAATGGAAACTTTAATGGAATGCTTTGATTCTACTTGATTATATAAATGTATCTTCTATATAAGAATTAAAAATTACAGTGCAGTGTAGAGCCTTAGTTTATGATTTTACAAGTGCAAGTATGCTTAACTTCAAGTACATGCTTGAGCTTGATTCCTTCAGTATAGTTTTTGTGCCTACCTAATTGTCAGCAGGATTAAGGCTTTGGATATGAATTCTTAGTCAGGTAGGGAGTTCAGAGGCAATGTGAGAACATTTGAAAATACTGTAACCAGTAAGTGCAATATATTAGTAGCTGGGTAGGCTTTACTGCTGAAATAATGAATTACTCAACCACTTTTGTAACTTGAACTTCCGAAATAACATGGCAGTAATACATGCATAAAGGCTATTTCCATGTTTTAGCTTTATTCCTTACTTTAGGTGATGGAAAGTAATTGTTATAGTACTGCAATTTATTAGGACTTAGGTGGCATAATTAAGTGAGCAAGAATCAAATGTCACCATAGGATTTGCTGTGCTAAGCATAAGTAGATCAGAGAACAAATGTATCTCATTTAGAATCTGAAATGTCCATTAACTACACTGTGTGTAGGCTTGAGAAGAATTTTCCTAGTTTTTTTCACAGTAGCATCAGGACAAAGTCATTGCAGCAGCATTTATCTTTTTTTTAAGTGTATTTTTTTTTTTCTTCTTTATTTAGATGTTGACACATTTATTTCCCAAACGCTAAAAGGGGAAAATCTATCCAAGAAAGCAAAAGAAAACAGGGAGGTTCTTCTTAAGAAGATAAAAGATGTTAAGGCAAGGTAAGTGAGCTTCATGGCTTTATTATGGTGTAAAATCACTTAATGATAACTTAAGTTTTTCATCTTTTAATCACCACTAACAGTATTAACAAATAAAAATCTGTCTAGGTCTTGAGTTTGTCAAATAATCAGCATGGGTTCAAGTCTTTATATCTTTCTCAAAGCTGCTACAATTTAGTAAGAGATGTGAATATAAATGGGAACATTTGTCCCATTTGAATTGCTGTAATATTCTGAATCCTCATTGCAAGCTGGTTGGGTAGAGCTTGCCTTCACCTCTGCTTTAGTAAGATTCGTTAAAATATGAGAAATACAATGCATTGAGAAAATGAATTAGCTTCCTGTCACCGTACTCATCTGGTGTAAAACAGTATGATTCAATGCTGACTTTGCTTTACTGTGTATTCTGTCACTAAGCTCTGCAATAGAAAATTGAAGCATAACTGGAAACTATAGATCATAAGTTTGTTTCAGCAGTATTAAAATAGTGAAGTACTATGACAGACTAAGCAGAGGGCTGTATTTGTTTGTTTTTTTGAATATCAGGTGTCATTTGAGAGCCTATTCTGTTGTGTTTTATTTTCTAACATTTCAGATAAAGAGATTTGGCTGTAGTTTTATTTGCACTACAAAGTTTTCTTTACAAAATCTCTTTTCTTACAACTCTAATCAACTAGAGATATAGTTGATAGATATGCTAGATATAATCTATTACTTGCTGTTCTTTTACCATTGTTGTTTCCAAACAAGCTGTTTTGCTGCTGATCACTCCCTTGTGATATCTCCTGAGCTTTCCTTTGATGACATGCTCCTGCCTTCGTGGCAACTTGTTTACAGTTCCAAAGACAGCACAGTCATCTGGCCATGACATAATTCTTTATATCACAGTAACTGCAGGAAGACATGAAATGTGTCCCAAAGCCTTGTAACTGAAGATCTATGTGCCTTTGATTCAGGCTGCAAATGCTTAGGGAACTAGTTTTTAGGATTATTATTATTAGTAATAATAATAACAATAATAATAACAACAACAACAACAATAATAATATACACACATTTATTTTTTCTTTTAAGGAACCAGGATTTTATTTTTTCTTCTATATTTTCCCTTCTGGGTTGTTGAGCCAACTGGGACTGTACAGATGACTTGCAGATACAGCACTACTGACTTTTCTTCAATCTTATAACTGAACTTAGGGTTTTTTGCATGATGAAATAGCAAAGGAAGGCGCCTGCATTTATGAGCACAGTTGGCGCTGAATCCTTTGCTACTCACTGACATGACCCCATGATTTTGCATCTTATTTTAATTTCTAATTCCTTCCTTCTCCTGTAGTATTATTCATTGTTAACAGCGTTTTGCTTTTCATGCAGGCTACAAAATATATGCACATTGTTGTCATCTTTGATTTTCATATCCCACATGTTGGGCTATGCCTAACTATTAGTGCTGCTTGCTGGGCAGAATTTCTTACATCTGGCCTTTTATCTCTGTTTGCATGACTCAGTTTCTTATGCCTAGACCCTTTCTTTCCCTCCTGCTTGTTACTTACAAGTATCTCCTTACTGACTAACCTGATGCACACCCTACTGCTTATTGTCCATAAAGATGGTCTTGGCAGCTGCATTTTATTTGCCAGTTACTTCTGGTGAAATCCTCTTATTTTCACACTAACTAGTCCATGCTTCTTGAGATGCAATTTTACATAACTCTGGATTATTTATCTTTATCTATCAAACTGTATCCTAGTTTCTGAAATATCAAAATTTAGCTCCGAAGAAACAGTATTTTTTCCATCTGGGATGACAGAGGTTTATTTTTAGGCATTAAAGAGCTTGAGATCTTCCTACTTGAAAATGAAGTGTTTTTAAATTTAGGCATGCAGTACCTTTTAAATTTCTGGTTAATTATTAATTAACTTAATTTCATTTGTGTGTCATAAATTACTTCAACTAAAATCCCTATTTGTGGATTTTTTTCCTGCTGATGTAGTATCTTATTTCAAAAGTATGCTTAGGGGCTTTTACTTGTGCCCAAAACTTTTTGAAACGAACATTTAGGAAGTTTACTGAAATTAACCATGTTTTTGTATGTTTATACCTTACGGTATCTGAGTCAATGTATATTGCTAGAAAAAGCTGCTCAGAGTTTGGTTTTGTTCAAGTCCTGTTTGAAGTGACTGAGGATTCTCTGAATTGCAAAGGCAAAACAAGAACTCAGTAAATATTTTAGCCAAAAATAGAGACTCTTTAACACATTTTGCAGGGAAACCTGCGTGCCAAGCTTCAGCTACAAAGCCTGTTGAAAGTTCGCAGTTGTTCTGTGTTATGTTTGCAGGTGCTCACGGCTTGATGTTTTTTCTTCTTCTTTCCGCAGTTATCCCCAAGAATTCCAGGACAAAGGTAAGAGCGGTGCAGATTCCAACCCCCACCCCCCGCCCCCCCCATCCATCCATCCCTCCCGGAACACCTCTGGGAGCGCCGGCTGAGGGAAGGATTGACCTAGAAACCTAGTTCAGGATTTAATACAAGCGGAGCTTGTTAAGCCTGGCTTCATTAGCGATCGCCTAGCATTGCGAAAGGCGACGTGATGCGGGGTGGTGTGGTTTGCTTTTTTTTCCTGAGGAAGTGTGTGGAGAGCAGCCCGCTTAGGAAACGCCATTTTAATAGGGATCGCTTATTTCAGCCTTTTTTCTTAACATTGCCAAAGTCTTCAATTCCATCGTGATGTTTCTTTAACCTTTTAATAGGATCACCTAGTGGCAATATGATCTGCACTGAATGAACGTTTTCATGGCGCGGCTCGTGGGGGCTCAGGTCTGTGAGAGGAGGTGATTTAGTGTGCCAGTAATGAAAACTGAAGTGTGGGTTATCTATTGTCTTCTAGTAGAGTTAAAACAAATGCGCAGGGTTCAGTTTAGAGAAGACGGAGGAGTTTGTTGCTGCAGTGTTCTGTTCTGTAAGGGAACCTGGAAGGGCTCTTATTTCCATGATGCTAATTCTTGAGGTCGTGACCTACAGCCTGTAGATGCTGGTATGAGGGTCACAGTGCGAGGTCAAAAAAGCCTGTGCAAAGCTTCACTTTTTTCAGTGGTTGAGGTACTGTCTGTTTCTGGGCAAAGAGATTCAAATGTGTAGGCTACAGTGTGCCTCCTGATGAAGAGAAAATATGTAAGCCCTGTTAGGCAAGTATGTTACAAAGCATAACAAGTTCATACATTTCTTATCCCTGTTTAAATCAAGTTATATGGCCATAGCAGTTCAACTGAAAGAGAAAATACACCTTGAAACTTGCCCAAAATGGCCAAGATTTTTAAAACTCAAACTATTATGTAAAAAGTGTATTAAAATAATGTGCTTTTTTTTTTTTGTATTGCACCTCAGCACCTTTGCTGAAGTTAAAAATGTAGTCTCCTTTCTGTCCCCACTATCCAACAGAAATAAGGATGGAAAAGTCAAATGTTATTTTATTAAGAAAACAACTACAATTAAATTAAATGGGGTGATTGTTACCTTGCAAATGCACCTGACTTTCTGGAGAGCATGTTTTTGAAGATGTAATAACTTTCTGAGGCTATGACTCTCTAATAAACATAAGAGTTGTCTACAAAGAGCAGAGTTTGCATTTACTGGTTTGCTTTTTTTGCAGGTCAAGAAAATTCTAGTCTATTTACATTCTTAACTGGCAATTTAATTCAGAATTTCTTTACTGATTCAACAATTTATCAATAAAGATGAGATTTCATTATCTCCAGTAAAATTAATTATTGAATTGAAATAGTCTGTAATTGGTACTGTATAACTTGCTCTGATATCTGTGAAAATTGCATTCAGTCATTCTTTTTATTAGAGTGCATTGGATTCTTAAGAAGGATATATTGCTTTTTTTTTTTTTTTTAAATTCTCCTGATGTATCTCTTGGGTTCAGATCATAGTACCATGCACAAGTGAAGCTTGTGAATGCTGACACTCTAGTTTTCTTCCAGTGTTTGTCAATCAAATGAGAGGACTCTAAAATCATACTATTGTTTTTGGCAAGCAAGGCAAGATTTCTCCAAACTCATGTCCATTTACATGCATGAATATGAAAAAAATAATGAGAAATGGGAGCCTGCACTTACTTGCAGAATATTTTAGGGATGTGGTTCACTGGTATGGGTGTTGGTTTGATTTCCAGAGTTCAAGAAGTGTGTGCTAAACTTTATTTGGTTGTGTCATTCTTACCTTAGGCCTGTACAAATTACGCGTGACTTGTACAGGTGTAGAACAAAGGACCCATGTGGAGGTAAGCAGTCAGATTCTTGGCAAGCTACTAGTATAACAAAACAGTAGCTGCAGCTGAGTGAGGTCAACTTTCGTGCCCATTCATACCTCTGTGCACACCTAGACAACTGAAAAATGAAAATATTGAGAAAAGATTAAAAACGGAGGTGGCAGTGACAGTCAGGCATTTTCCTGTTCCTCCCTCTAACATAAATAATAAAAAATAATAAATAAAAATAAAAAATACTGAGCATGTTTAAACTTCCTATTTGCTGTTCTTTGTTTTGCAGTAGTAGTTACTCAGTTTTTTAAATGCAAATAAAATAATCTTTGTGGTAGCTGGAAGGAAGGGTGAAGAATGATTTATACATGTGCCATGGTATCATGATATAGTTATTATCATACTACCTGATCATACTATATCAGCTCTTTTCATCTTGTGAGTTGCGACCTGTCATCCTTCCAGAGGCATCTAGAAGAATCTTTCTGGAGGCCAAAAGAAGAGGACTAACACTTTCAAAATCTATATATTTCCTGTATAATATAATGAAATTTGATCCTCGTCTCTCGAACAGCAGCTCCTTTACCTTTTGAGTTGTTCTACAAAATTCTTTGTGGGCATCAGCTTGCCACTCCATTCTTTTTCATCACCTCATGTTCTAGAAAGTTTCAGTAGCTTTGTATGTAGTGACTAGTCAGTTTGACCAAGGTATTGTAGGTGAGCTCTTGTTCCATGTGCTTTGGCCACTAGCATTCAGAATCTTACATTCCATAAAGATAAGGCAAGGAGGTTTAAGAGAAGAACAATAAAAAATAAAAATGAAGAGCATGTGTGCAAGTAGAAGCAGGCTCCTTAAAACCAAAATCATCTGTGTCTGTATCTCTTAACTTTCAGAAAGTGGACACATACATCTTTGCAACCACATTGATGTACCTGAGGACTTTCTGGCATCCTCCTAAAAAAAAGCCTTCTTACATTGTCTGTCAAGTCAGTAAAGAGGCTGGAAAAAATATATTTTCTGTTTGCACACTGAAAAGTGATGCTTTTTAGGAGAAGTGGGTTCATGTGAAAATTAAAGACACAAAATTAATTGTACAGGAAAACATTTAATTCTCACGTGTCATATGTTATCTGATTTATGCTGACTTTTACAGTTAAGTGTGAAGATGGACAAAGAAAGTGCATGTTGTTCTTATGACCACAAAACTACAATTATATTAATAGCCAAACCACTAATCTTTAGACAATTTTATTTTTTATTAAGTTATTAAACATTTATTATCTTTATTTTATTCTTACATTAAAAAACTGATTAGATGTGTCTTACAGCTGATATGGTACGATCAGGTAGTATGATAATTACTATATCATGATACCATGGCACATGGTGTGAATCATTCTTCACCTTTCCTTCCAGCTACCGCAAAGATTATTTTAATTGCATTTAAAAAACGGAGTAACTGCTGCTTTGCTTTTCTTTTAATTTGAAATGTTTGCCTCTTCATCTTAGTTTAAGCAAAACCAAAAAACCATAGTCATATTCAAAGTGACCTGTTCTAGATCTTAGAACTGGGAAGGAACTTGAAAACTAAGATAATTTTCATAGAAATTGGATTAATTTTTTATGAGACTAGTATTCCACTAAGTATATAAAGTCTAGATTTTGTCAAAGATTTTGAGTAAATACAGTTTTTGGCATTTCTCTGTTTTGTGATTAATTGAATCAATACCATGGCTGCCAAAATGTTTTGTTAAAAGAATCTTGTTTTCAATTTATGCTAAAAATAGTGCTAATTTTGGCAGAAGCACTATAAGCTGTAGAAGCTGTATTTGTGTTTGAAGCTCACTTGCCATCTGTTCTTTGCATTTATTTTAGTAGAATATATATTTTTAATCACTTTTCACAAAAGATTTTGGCTTGGGGTTGAAAGTGAGACACCAAAAGTACTAGCCAAATCGAGTCATAATGTGGGAACTTGCAGAACAAATTCCCCATAAAGCACTCAGCACAGCTTTTATCTGATCTGCAGCACACAACTCTGGCACTACTTATGCAGAAAAGTATGATTTGACATTTTCTAACTACTGCTTTTCAGTCTGATAGAAACTGATGAAGGTCCATTTTCATTTCTCTGTAGTAGAAGAGAAGATTAACAACAATGCTCTAGAAACATAGGTTATTCTCGATGTAATTATTGGGGGCACCTGTAGGAAACCTTTAAATTACTCAGATGATACTTCAGCTCTTGGTGGAGTACTGAGTGTTTGGAGCTTGAGGCACCTGCTTCCTGGAAATAGCCAAGCTTTGTACTATATGCAAAGACTTTGTACTTTCTGTTGGCTTTTTTTTTTTTGTCTCTATGCACTCCGTTTTTCAGAAAATGGCAGCAGGTAGGAGGCTTTTTGAACTTAAGAAAGGGAGGCAGTAGCTTGTGGTCATTAGAGCAGTATGTGGATGTGGGTTCTATGTTTTAACACACTCAAACTTTCACTCAGAAGCATAAATACATGGTTAAGTTTTAACTATAAATGCGAAAAAAAAAAAGTCTTAGTTGTTATGCAGTCCTTTGAGGTTCATCATGTTATATTTCCAGAGACCATTAGAAGTGTGCCAAATATTACTCTATCCTGAAGTCTGGAGGGTTTCGTGGCAGGCAAGTTACCATGTTGTGCCTTTCAGCTACATGCAGCTGTTATCTGTGAAGTGTCTATGCCAAGTGTAATTTCAAGCAGCACAAGATGCAGCCACCAGTTCAGCAAAAAGCGTTCTTATCCTGATGTGCGTCATCAGAACCAGAGGCAACTCAGCAAGTAAAAGTTTTGTTGCTTTTCTGGCTTGAAGTGCATTTGCTTACAAACCTAATGCTGTTTCAGCATTTTTTTAACAAATAGCTGCTAAGGAATTCCTACTTGACCCTTACAAAACAAGTCATGAAAACAATCATGTTAATATGAGACTCTAGAAGACACTTCAGGGATGAGTGTGTTGGAGCAGATTGTATGGCAAAGTGTCCATTGAGAGAGTTGTTGTCAGAAGAAGTCAGTCTTGCAAGATTACTTGTGGATTGGGTCAGTAGCATCTTCTTAAAAAATCAACTGTCGAGGGGCTAAAGTATTCCTGTGCCACCTTGAAAGTAACTATCTAGTTGTGCTTTGGGGTTTTTTTTTTGTGTGTGAAAAACTTTGTAGCAAGAACCTTGCATTGATTTGCTTGATGGCTTCATCCAGTCCTTTGTTTGGGCTCTTACTCCACCAGAGATTGGATGGGAGGAAGTTATTTCAACCTGCTGTGACTTAGGACCTTCTGAAATGGCAAGAAGCAGGGTGTTTTGACCTGCATATCTTTTTATTTTTGTGAGTTGTTTTATTTCTCTTATACTTGAGCAATTTTAATGCATCACTCTTGTCTAGTTTTTTTTTAGAAATAAATTGAAAGTGTTTAGTGAACTGAGGATGTGAACTAGCAAGTCTTTTTTAGAGGCATTGGCTGAAATTTCTTACTTGCTTTTTTTAGGTTTAGTGGTGGAAGCAGTATCTTCAATGCTTAGGAGTTGGTTACTATAATCACACTATTGCAGCAGAAAATTAATTCTCGATTAAAAAAAAAATGTATTCTTGTAAAGCAGAATGGTCCTGTTCATTCTATTCAGCTTGGAGCAAGTACATCTGCTGGAAATCTTTAAAATGGGGCATAGACTGACACACAGCAATTGTTACAATGAGAAGAGTTTGTTTTATGCTCCATTCCTAATGTGGTACACTTACCCTTTGGTATGCATTATTTCCTAAATCAATAAATAAGCTGTAATGGAAAAGGCAGCATTTAATAAGGAATGACATTGTATGGGTTTCTTGTACAGATAACATAAAATATTGATTCTGCTATCAGACCTGTAAGAGGTTAGTTTAAATTGCAGAAACTGGAGAATACAGTCAGTTCATATGCACTTTTTTGATATTGTGACTGTTAACTATCTACTGTTAATTAAACTTCTTTTCAACTTCCAGATAAACCATATGTTATTCTGGGGAAACAAGAAACTATATTAATGAGCATCAACTCCTTAATTATCCTTGTGACTACATAACAGGGACACATTCATGTCATTTCTTTGTGCAATAACTTTTGCAAAGAAGTATTTTTAAACTGATCATTAATTTTATGGCCACAGAAACGAGATGCAAAATTTATGCTGTTGTCATTGGCACAGGTTCAAAGCACTGCTGACATTATGTGTGATCGTAATGGAATGGCAGCCAACTAATGAGTCTATAGACATTTTGTTTGAGCATGCTTTGCTTTTAGATGTCTGATTAGGCAGTAATCCTTTCAATTATGCCTGCAGATTGTATTGGATACATTTACCTGGTGCTCATTGTTGCTTTGTAGTTCGGTTTTCTATTACATAAATGCAAGTTGAATGCTTTTCTTTAATTTATCGATGCTTTTGGGGTGTATTTTAGGTACTTGGCACCTGAAGAGAGGAATAGTGTCTTGTGCTGCTCAACACTGACTCCTCTGACTATTCAAGGAGTAACACATGTAACTTCAACTGCAGTTTTATATAGTCTTCCTCAGCAGGTGGAGTGAACACTGCAGTGCAACACCTTGACAGAGGAACGTGTAAAGTGGGGAAAGGGCAGAGATGATTCTGCGAAAGGAATGCAGGGAACCCCACAGAATCAATAGTCACCCTCTCCATGAACTGTTATCAGCAATATCCTTGTGTTTTAATAGAGTATGCTCCTAAGATATCTTTTAACCCTGTCAGAATTAAGAGGCAAAACCCCAATATTGGTACACATGGACATTCTTTTATGTAAGAACAAAAAAGGTTGTGCAATGTTGCCTGTTAAAGACACAGAGCACTCTGGGTCAGCACTCCTATCAAAATGTCTGCAGCTCTTCTGTACAAAGAAGAGGATTTAAAGATTACATTTGACTGCTTGATATAAATTTACAAATGCATTTTTTACTCTAATACTAAAATAGGAAGATTATTCTAGTCCTGCAGGGCTACAGGTTGCTTGTACCTCTGTTTAGCATCTTTGACCTGTTCTTCACTTCTTTCACAAAAAAGTGTGGGTACCTGAATGTAATATTGTATGACATGGGATTTATATATTTGTTCTGATTATCTTTCTTACTGAGGGTTTTTTTTGTGTGCAGAATTCTTCAAGCTTGTATTTAGAATTTAACATCTAGAGAATGTTTTGAAGACTACAAGCACTATAAAAGCACTGAGTGTGTGTATATCAGATTATTTTTTATTTGGTTCATTTTGAGAGCATCTGAACTTGGATACTGTAGGCTTAGAACAGATTCTTGTTTATTGTAAGTCTATCTTCAGTGTGTCCATGTTTTTTGTTGTTTCAAGTACAGTATGTACCTGAGTTAGGTACATGGTGTGCCCTAAATATATGTGTTAAAAAGCCCCTTGTTTCTAGATCATCTGTCTTTTACATGGATGCAAAGTACAAAGGCTTACTGAGTTTGAAATCCTGAGCATAATTAGAAAGTGGTTGTATTGTGACTTAATGGAAGAGCAAGGTAACAGTGCAGCTCTGCAAACTTACATAAAAAATCACAGCTACTCTGAAAGATTAATAATATAGATATAATAATAAGAGTAACAATATAGATATAAGATAATGTATAGCTGAGTGGGGCCAAATTCTCTGAAGATGTACCTTCTGCATATGTACTTGCTTATTTGTCATCCACAATTGCTATTAATTTAGGAATACTTAGGTTTGCTGTTACTGTTCAGCCCATGAATTGTGTGTGCCAGAGTGTGGTGTTTGTGGAAATGTTTTCCTCTAGAAATACAGCCTAATAGTTTAAATTTATGCTGGCACCTTCATAAAGGTTAAATGATAGTATGTTTTACAATGTCTGGTAAGAGGACATAGTTGACTGACAACTCCAGATTATATATACATTAAACACATACACATATAGTTGTATATATATACATTTATTATATGCATTCTAGTACTAGTAAAAGTTTAGGACAAAAAGAGTGGAACAACTTTTGGTACTGAATAGGTTTTGAATATAATGTCTGGTCCTTTTGAATCAAGTCTGTAATAAAGGTATATATATAGACAGAGGCAACTGGTCTCTGGCACGTAAGCGTGAAAGATGATCATGCTGGTTGTAAATATGGCATAATATTTTCTCTTCATGTGCTATTTGCTCTCTGGTTTTCTGTTTGGAGGAAGAGATGAGTACTGGAGAGGGGTAATTTATTTTTGATTGGTTTGACAGGTGTGATGAAATGCAAATATTTTGATCAGATTAACACGGTGGCTGGAGTGCTACTGGAAGATAGTTGTGTCAAAAATAGATTGGAGTCAGGTTCAGGTTCAAAGCAGTTGTTACATGGCATGAAAGCTTGAAATAAAGCTTCCCAAGAAGAGCATACTAAATTAATGAAGGGAAAACCAATTTGGTATTCAACAATCTTGGGGTGTAAAAACTCCAGCAAAGCAAAAATCAGGCTTTGTTTGCTTATCTGCATAGAAAACTTTGTTCTTTGCTAACAACTGTGGTTCTTTCTGGGTGCACACTGATTTTTCCATGATTTTCCACTACTGAATGGGAAGCCAAGGCATAAAACTCTCAGCCATGGCTAGGCAGTCCTACTAATGAATGCAATTCATATGGCTGTGGAGAAGGATATTTTCATCATGCATGGGGTTTATTTTGGATTCTGAGAAATTAGTTATCTGATACAGTGCTCCAAAAGGGAACACATGAATAAAGAAGCATGTCTAGAGGTCTCTGGAAAGCTTTCTGTGTAAGAATATGCAAAAAGGCAATGCTTAAGCAATTTAACTTTATATGCTTTTTAAGAAAATTGAGAGTAATTTGATCAATTGGAACATCATCTTTATAGTTTTGGTTTGGTGATGTGTGTATTATTCAGTTTTCCTCCTTTGCCAACACTTCATTTTTAATTTTTTTTTATTTTATTTTTTTTTCAAGGAACAATGTCATTTGTGTTTTTTCCCCCACCTCTTCTTCACTTAGATGGTATTTAAAAAAATCCAAGAAAAATATACTGAATTTTGGGAGGCAGAACTTAAATTTTGTCTAATGAAATGAAAGCCTTGACTGATACTGATTTCACTTTACCTTACCCAGACCTTCACACTTAATACACTCTGGTCAGTGTAGTGCATGGGTTAGCTAATGATGTAGATTTTTGTATATATTGTAGTAGGGTTCTCCGTTACGCAGGAAATTCATCAACAGGATGATGTATTAAGCCACAGGTTCAGACTGGCTCCTGCCAGGCAATTCCATTTTTAGTTTCATGGGAGGAATACGCACATAACATTTGCAAAGTAACACCTGATTATGGTGAAGAAAAGCGAAAGTGGGCAGAGCGTGTCCAACTGCTGCCAACAGTAGCTTGGCGGTTCCTTGGCAGGAAGTTGCTGCAGCTCCTTCCTGCTCTTGGACAGGCAGAACTTTGGAGCTTGGCACTGCCTGGTTCTCCTCCTGCCAGTGTATTCCTGTGCCCAGTGCTTTGCTGTGGGGTGTGTATCTTTCCCCCGTGGTGTGTGAAGCTGTCAGCTCTGCAGCACTGGGAGCGGGTGCAGTACATGACAGCGTTGAGGGGAACCACTCCAGCAACATGTACGTGGCTGGTTAGAAGGTGACCCCAGAGCAGCACCAGTCACAGCTGTGCTTGGATGTACAAGGTATGTGTTACAAGTGTCCATGAGAAAATGTTTTGGGGTTTTTTCCTGTTTCAGACAGGAATTGGTATCCTCCTTACTAATGAAAATATTTGTTGTTGCATCCTCTCCGTGTTTGTGTGATATACTATTTTAAATTACCTTTTTTTTTCTTTTTTTTTTTTTTACAGAACTGGAAGATGAGGAGGAGTTGGAGGGCTCTTTGCCTCCTGATAGTGTGTCAATAGCATCTGACCGATACGATAAAGAGGATGAAGCACCTTCTGATGGTATGTGACACTGTTTACCTTAGAATGTACTAGATTTGCCAGTTTGTTACAAACTCATGTAATCGGATGCTCGTGATGCGAATGTTAGTGTTGGAAATCAGAAAAACAGATAAGCATCACAGCTGGACAGTTTTCTTACCTTTACAAGAACCTTTAAAGGAACTGAAGAGCTCTCTCTAGTGGCCCTAGAGCATAGTGAAGCTATCTTGAGTTTATGTGGGTTTTTTAAAGTCACGTTTTTTCATAACAAAGCATCTTCTGTAGATGCGTATGTTTTTAAAGATACATCAGTGGCTAAAACAGTGCGAATATTTGTAGTAACAAATTGTTGTTAATTCAACATTATCAGATTCTTGCTTAATTTGATTGTGCTACTTAATGGCTTACTGTATTATTTATCTAATAAATAATGAAACAGTTTATGTGATTGATATTTTTCTCCAAACTAGATGCAGAATAGGTTCATAAAATATTAAATTAATTATTCCTGCAATGTTTCCTTCCATTAAGACAGTCTTTTGTAGAATGTTTTCATTACATAAATTTAAAACTTGAGTTTGCATTAAAAAAATCCAGCCTCCATTGCTGTTTTCCACGTTGTTTTATATTTATTAAATTTAATGCTGAATGTCACTGTTCTAAAGACATGAACAATTGAATATTTCAACAGTTAACAAGCTTACTTTAGTATAGTGTCCATATTTTTGAGATTTGTTTATTGTATACATAATAAAAATACCTTGTATGGATAATATATGGCAATAAATTAAGTATATGTACAAATAAATTAACGATGTATATTAATTTGTGTCATTAGGAGTTAGATAGACTTACTAGTGAATGATGTTTTCTGACATGATATGATGATCAAACTGTGCAGCTCCATCTCGAAATACAATTGCTGAATGAAAATATGCTTCTTGCAACATAGCACTCCACATTTTATGTTACCCAGATTATTCCCTTTGGAAACATAAATTGCTTTTATGAGGTATAAAATTATGTCTATTGCAGAATAGGGATAAGTCAAGTACATGCATAAGTGATAAACCTCCTAACCACTGATTCAAAATAACGCAATTTTTTTTTGTATCCAGAAGTCTGTAAAATGTGTAACGATAATAATCACACTTTTTTTTTTTTACTTTATTGAGCTTGTTGCATTTTGGCAATGTGACCTACTAAAAAAATCAAAACAAGCCTTTTTTGCTTTCTGGTTGAAATGTTATTGTCAGTCAAATCAAATACGGCTTTTAGAAAACTCAAGCGAATTTTCCAAACTACAGATGGATGCGACTTTCCATGTATTTATTTTTGCATACAAACATAATCTTACCATTATTTCTAATTGTAACTTAATAACGTGGTACTGATTGCACAAAGGGTATGTGACAAAATTGCATGACTATTTAATAGGATAAATGATTATAGATTTGTTTCAAAGCAGTTAATCAAGAAAAAAGTGATAATGTTCATAAACCTAAATAATAAATGGAGAATGCTGATGCAAGAGTAAATGAAATACCATATGAGTTTATACAGATGGGTGGTTAATTTTTAGCTTGTTTTGGAAGTTATAATTACGAGAGTATGTATAAGAGTTGCCCAACAATATCCTGGCTATTTCGTTCCAGTTTAGGTAGAAATATAGGGGGTACAATTATGTTATATTTAGGGTGATTTTACCTTACTTGTCTTTCTATACTTTATGATAAATTATCTTTTATTATCTACTGGGAGCACAGCATGAGTAAAAATTGGTAGATTTTAATCTGTAAATATTTTCATTTATTGGAGTAGTGTTTCTATTTGGTCTTTGAATGTCCAGTGTGTCATTCTAAGACCGTTTTGATTTTAATATACGTAGTCCATAATGTAAGTTTAGCCACATGGACTATGTATAAAAATTTATGTTGGGGGAATCTTGTAAGAGGTGGATTGATCTTCAGAGGTGCCATTTGTTTCAGTTCTCACAGGCAGGAATGGATTTGTTGAATCTTAATACTGTATTTTTGCTTTTTAGCAGTCTGTTAATATTCAATACATAAATCCTACTCAAGAAGCTGGGTCTGTAAGGTAGATGTTTGATCTTGTGTGGTTACCAATTTAGTTCAACAAGGCTCTGTGCAGGTGTAAAACCTCATTTGTGTAGGATCAAGGCTCTGACCATTAACAGAGAGGCCTAACTGCAGGTAGCCAAATTGAGGTGGTTTTTATTTATATTTGAGTCCACTTGTATTTTTATGTAAATCCTTCTATGTATTTTTTTTTGCTTAAAAAAAAAAGCCAAATCAAAATGGGTATTTACATTTATATACTTAGACTGCAAGGTTTGTATGACTTCTGACTTTGCAGTGTTACTGTCAAAATACAACTTCCGAAGGCACCCACTTGGTAACAGATAAAGAATTAGTGTATTACATGTACATTACAGTCACTGTGAAATCTTGGAGTTTTTGTGTGACCTTTGTCTAATGGTATATTAATTACAAGAGAGATAATCCATTTAACAATAAGTACAGGATAACTAAATTAGCACAGGTCACCTAAAGGCCTTTTGTCAAATCTGATTGTTATGTTGTCCTTTTGACTTTTACCTTATGGTAGGCACTAACAAAGTATCCAAACTTTGATGGATTATAAACTCTAAACATGATATGTATTTTTCATAATGCTAATGTAATTTTCTAGGTACTGAAAAGGTCAAACCCCCATGTCTCTGTGTGCATTCTAAGTCTGTCTTTCCTTTTAATATTTCTTTTTCTCTGTTCCTCTGGTTCAAAAGTTCACTCAGTTCCCAAATGGCCACCTAATTTTCCAGTTATTCCCTCAAGCCATATGTGTTTTGGTTTCTTTATGGTTTATTAGGTACTGTAGGAAAGTAGCATAAGTTATATCATCTAATGAAATTCAAGCACACTTCAGTGATGCTTTGACTTGATTGCTGGCAGCAATTAAATCACAACGAAAGAGAATGATGCATAGGCTTACAAGTCCAGACACCCTACAGAAATTGGAAGAGGAATAAAACACAAACCCCCCAAATAAAATAACAAACCCAAAAACAAGACAGACAAAACAAAACAGCGCTGCCAGGCCCTTTTTTCTTAACTTGATTTTTTTTTATTGGCTAACAGCCTGATTGATAGCAAAATCATAACTTGCTGTATGCTAACAGGCAGAGTTCACTTGTAGGTTATTGTGAGCTGATAAAGGGTTAGATGGAGTTTTGATTTTCGCATTGGTCCTTGGTGCACCAGATTAATGGAATTTCAATGAGAGACTGGAGTAGTCACAGCTTTGTCAGAAAAACAGATGGAGATTCTATAGCCATGTCTGCTCATTAATACCAGTTGCCTGAAAGGTATACTACTTCTCTATACAAAAGACTCAACATAATTGATTTTTGAGCAGGGTATTTTTTCACTTATTGATGACTAGGTTTCTTGCAACTTAAATGACAGGTTTTTGTACAGTGTGTTGTATCACAATGATATCTTGTAAATTTTTACTCCCCTTCTATCTATTTTGTGTGTAGTGGAAAATATTTCACTTGATCAGTTAAAAACCAAAACATACCAAAATACATAAAAATTGAAATAGTAAGGTTAACAAACTTATTTTTGGTTGAGAAATTAATGAGGAAAAAGTTTCTGGTTTTTAATTTAATTCTCAGGTTTCTTAGGATGGTATTAAATCTAGGTGCAATGCCATGCTGAAATTTTCCTATTTAACACTATAATGATCTCAAGGGATTTTTTAACAGTAATTTTTTTGTTGCTAATGGTACAGTAACTTGATTCCATAATAGAAATGCCAGTAGTATTAAAGGAACTAACTTTCCAACTTTGTAAAGACTGTGAGTGAACTGACCACTTCTTTAGAAGATATTGTCTGTTTAGTTCTGCAGGGAGTGTGTGATTGAGTAATTATTGGATCTAAAATCATCACAGTGAATGCTGTGGTAAAATTTAGATGATCGCAGTTTCTGTGGAAGGTCTAGAAATGCTGCCTTGAGCATGTAAGGATGAAAAGTACTAAAAATGTGTCTGGGAGCTTGTATGCTTGTATTACCTTATTTAGCTACAGCTAATAAACAAAACATGCTTTTTAGTACAAAATTGTTAAACAGGGTAGAAATCTCATACTAAATAATCCCCGTAGTTAAGGTGGAGGAAGGCAGGGCCTAAGCAAGGAAAACAGGAGATTTGGAGAACTCTGAAGAATAAAAATAAATTAAGGGTCTGTGCTGTTTTAACTGTTTGTCATTGGAGTACAGTCTTGAAAACGAGGAGGATTTGCTGCTCCCAACAACATGCTTTTCTTGTTATAGTTTTTGCATAAAGTAACAGGTTTTCATGCAGCTCCTCTGGAGAAGTTCTGTACGAGCCTTTGCAGGCTTGTGTCAAATGTTTTAACGTGATCTATAGTATTTCCTTTACATGAACATAGTATTTTGAATTTCAATTGATCAAGTGAGAATGAAAAATTATGTGCCTAAATTTTGCATGCTACTTCTCATGACATTTTAAGTTTCTAATATAAGTACTGATTAAGTTTCTCTTTTTTTCTTTTTTCCCTATTTGGTAGACATAAAGCTTTGAATAATGTCACTGAAGAAGCATAGAGTTCAATGTAAGACACTGTCTTTATGTACCGTGCATACACAAGTCTTTCTCCACTTCATTCAACTGCATTCCTACTGAGTTTATTTTTGAGGCACTATATTAAAGCAAAAACAGTATTCTGTCACTGAGCCAGTTAACCAGTATTAGCAACTAAGTTAGCAAAGGTTGGAGAATGGAAAATTCAGCTAGTATTTTTCTGTCCTCTTCTCTCCTTTTGCCCTTCCTATCCCCTTAGCCTTGTATTGGCTTATCACTATTTTAGTATCATAATCATGTACATGGGGATGTTTGGTTGACTGGGAGATGACAGCATTAGAAGTTTACCTGAGTTTTTCTAGGCTATTAGATTAGCTTTATAGTACTGGAGGGAGT